CCTTTACTTTCTCAAACATTTTTTCTAATATTTCTCCTTTAGAGTCAGCTAACAATATATCATCCATGTAATGATAGATTGTGGATTGTGGAAACTGTTTACGAATTATTTCTAGTGGTTTTTGGACAAAATATTGGCACAGGGTGGGGCTATTTAGCATTCTTTGTGGCAAAACCTTCCATTGATATCTCTTCACCGGTTGAGAATTATTGTAATTAGGTACCGTGAAGGCAAATTTCTCTTTATCTTGTTCTTGTAAATGTATAGTGAAGAAGCAGTCCTTTAAATCAGTAACTATAATAGGCCATTCTTTAGGTATCAAAGAAGGCAAGGGCATTCCATGCTGTAGAAAGCCCATTGGCTGGATAACTCTCAGGTCTGTAAGTATTCTCCATTTACCGGATTTCTTTTTGATAACAACTACAGGAGAATTCCAAGGGCTGGTTGATTCCTCGATATGTCCAGCATTTAGCTGTTCCTAAAGCTTCTAACTTCTCAGAGGTCATAGGCCATTGTCCTACCAAAACAGGTTCCTATGTTAGCCATTTTAAAGGTAGGGCTTTTGGTTCCTCTGTTTGTTCAGCAGTTATATTCTGTTTTTGTACAACCTGGATATTTGGTATCTGGATATTTGGTATATTACTGTATAATATTTTTTCCACAATCATGAGGTCGTTTATGGTTCCTATCTAATACTGGAGGAATGTTTATCTGTGTATTCCATTGCTGTACTAGATCACAACTGCATAAACTTATCACTACATCAGCCACATATGGTCTCAACCTTCCTCTCTGTCTTTCTGGTCCTATACATTCAATCCATCTCGTGCTTTGTTTTACCTGAGACAGGGTTCCAATCCCTAAGAACTGAACATTTACCTCATGCAGGGGCCATCTTTGAGGCCAAGATTTATTAGTTATGATAGTTACATCAGCTCCTGTGCCAAGTAACCCATCAAACAGTCTGTTATTCATCTTAACTATTAATCTAGGCCTTTGACTATTTATAGAGGTTTGTCAAAATATACATTTTTATTTCCTTCTGTCATGTTTGATTCAACTTCCATCACTAGTTTGTCATCCAGAGCAGTATGAGTTTTTATAATAGGCACATGATTTTCTAATTGTCCTGTGGGAGATTGTCTTCCACTGTGACTGGAAATGTTCAGACCACCTGTGACATGGGGGACTTTGAAAGGCCCGCCCAAGGAGTTTTCCAATGGTAAAGGGTTTCCTTGCTTGTCTCTGGTCGATCTACACTCATTTGTCCAGTGTCTGCCTTTGCCATAACCCAGGAGGCTGAGGCCTTCTGTTAGATTCATTCCTGGGAGTGTTATTTCTAAGGAAGCTTTGCCTACAATTTCTTTTTAGATGTCCTATCTTACCACAGTTATAACATCTGACATGTTGATATCTCTTCAAACCTTTGGAGATGGCTTCTCCTACCCAAGCTTCTATATCACCATAGTTAAGACCTCTGTTATCTTGATGCCTTCTACCCATGCTTCAGTCTTATTGTCATTATACTCAATGTTGTCTGTATATAGGACCATCCAAGGGTGCTGATCACATTTTTAAAGGCCAAAACACCTGTTTGCATTGAGGATTCACATTCTCATAAGCTAAAGATTCTATGAGTATTCGCCTAGAATCTATGTCTGCTACCTCTAATTGTACTGCCCTAGATAATCTTTCTAGAAACACATTAAAGCATTCACTAGGTCCTTGCCTTATCTTGGTATAGGATTCTATCCTTTCTCCTAATTCATGAACCTTATCCCAAGCATTCAAAGATTCTGTACTGCATAGAGACAAGATATGTTCATCATAGGCAGCTTGGATTTCTGGTCAGCATAGAAACCCTCACCAAGAATTTTATCTTGGGGAGCTTTATAACCTTTCTTTAAGCCCTGAAGTTCAAGAGATTTTGCTTCCTCTCTCCATAAAGCCCTCTATTCTAATTGAGAGGAGTTTTCAAGGACAGCTGATATTAATTGATCCCAATCCTTAGGGGTTACCTTGTTATTCCTTGCCCATGATTCTACTAATTGCTTCACATATGGTGAGTGCATGCCATAAGAGACTACTGCTTCCTTTATACCTTTTAAATCTTTCATACGTATTGGTTCCCACTGATATGCAATGACACCTTTTGGGTGTTTTTTTTTGTTGCTGGTTTTTCATTAATAAATACAGGGAAAGCTCCCCTGACCCTAAATGGTATGGAAAATTTTAAGTCTTTTTCATGCCCTGTTACCTCTAGTTCTTCTTCTGATGTATCAGACTGAAGGTCTTCTAAAGCCTGAAATCTATTCATCATTGTTTCTTTGAGTGTCTGAACTTCCTGAATCAAATAACTTTCTACAGACTTCATTGCATCTGTCAGTTTCTTACTTTCTCCAACTACAAATGATTCCATGCTTTTAATCTTATCATCCTTAGATATTATCTGAATGGCATGTAAACTGCCTTCCAGAAACTATGTTCTATCTGCTAGCTTGCCATTATCCTCAGACATGGAAGAGATTCTATCATCTAGTCTTTCTATTTGATGTTCCAGTTTTTTAAACTTATTAGTAGCTTCCTCCAACCAGGAACAAGCTGTTTTTGCTAGTGTGTTAATGCATTGCATTGTTTCTGTTCTGGTTATTGAGGTATCAGACATGGAACAAATTCTGTTTTCTACTTGGTCATTTTTATGTTCCACGGTTTGTATTCTATTTGTCAGCTCTCCAATTCCATCTTCAATATTCTGAAACTTTTTTTCTAAACATTCTATGTTTTGAATTCTATCCTTTTCAATGTTTCAAATCATTGTTACTAAGTCTCCTATGGTTTGTACAAGTTCCTTACTGTTTGCTGTAATCTCAAACCATTTCTTTAAGAATATCAGGTTAATGATGAAACCCATTGCTATTACAAAATAAAAGTACATATTGATCCAGTCATAATTTTCTTCTGCTAAATTTCCTTCTATATATGAAGTAAAATAATTCCTAAAGTACTGCATTGTAAAATTATCTGCCATAGGTATGGAACAATTGATCTCAGATATTATATCATCTTAAATTGCAAAGGATGTTACAATTACCTTAGGTGTAATTCTGCTGTCCTGGAACTTTGATGCTTTTAGTTGTAGATCTCAGCTTGTGGTAGTTAACGCCTGGAGGTGTACTACCAAACAGTGTCCGGAAGTGTACCGCCAAATATCATCTGGCAGCAGACGGTCCTTCTGATCCCGGTCCCTGTAGAATAGCTCTTAACGAACTATGGCAAGCTAAATTTTGTTAGACAAATGAGTAAAATGAGTCTTGTGGAACTGCCAGTACCACAGGGCTAACTGCGGGAAATGCACAAGCAGGGCGGGCACCAAGTGGCTCTGCGCGAATGCAAAGTGCAGAAATGGGCAAAAAATGAAAAACAGTGAGTGCCTTCTCAGGCCTGCTGTGGAGGCAAAGGAGTTGTAGAACAGAGGCAAATGTCCCAAAGCTGTGGTGAGTCCACCTTGTTAGGCAAGGGACCCTGCCCGTTGGGGAATGGTGTCTGCCGCCTGCCGCCTGGGTGAAACTCAGGTCCCGTGAAAATCCTGATCCCGCTTCTGACACCAGATATTGCGGTTAAATAAGGATCAGGATAAACAAATAGGCTAAATAGATGTTTATTCAGGGAGAAATAACTTACAACCGAGACAGATGAACACCAGCAAGCTCCACTGAATGCTCTCCTCTTCGAATCCAGGCTCCTCCTCAGACCTCCTTCCACAGGTCACTTCCACCCCTGGCTCCACCCCCAATGGGTGTGGTCAATGCCACAGAATGAGACAAAGTGAATATCCCTCTACACCCTCCATTCAGGGCTTGGCTGGAGCACCTGTGGAGGAATGTCTTCCTCAAGCCCCTCTCCATCTTGTCTCAAGCCCCTGGGAACCTGCCTGACTCCACCCAGTGCTGGATAAACAGGCTAATTTTCCAGATTGGCGAAAGTGCCATTTTTTGGTTTTCTCATTTTTTTTTTTTTTTTTAATTCCCAACATCTGTCTTTGGGAAGGTACGCATTTTTACACATTGTGTTGAAAGTGCTTGATTTTCCATCTTAACTCTCTTGGCTTCTTCTCTTGACTGCTGCAGATTCCTTAAAATGCAACTTGGTATTTGATGAAATTTTATTTTGCTGGATCCACAGAGGAAAAGTGTTCCACAAGCCACAGGCTTAGTGATCTACAGTTCCCTTGGTGTCATTACAGCTTACGTAAAAAAAAGTTTCACTTCAAATTACGTAAAAAAGGTTTCACTTGAAATGCACACCCTATGACAACAGTTACATAGACAGTATTGACCTTGGGACCCTTCTGTGTTTTGGAATCCCAATGAGGGCAGGATCTGTCTTGTACATCTGCAAGCCTGCTAATTAATGGAAACATGAACTTTCTCTTAGCAACACCATTTTTAAATTAAAAATCAAAATCTAGGTTGAATGCTTAATAATATTTTGAAAATCAGTAATGTTACTTAACCCAGTGATAGAACCATCATGTTGATTTTCAAGGTAACAAAGTAGGTAAAATTAGATAAAAATTCCCATCAAGTTTTATTACTCTTGGCCAAAACTGAGCATTTTAATTTATAATCATCAAGCAACTTATTCCTCTCGGAACTGACAGACTCTTCTGAGATCATCTGGTTTAATGATTTAAAATAAGGTACAAGTTGAGGTAAAGGATGATCAGTATATATTAACTTTTGTTCAGTTAGAAACAGAGTACCAAATGATCCTACATTCAAAACAGCTGGACAAAGCAGCCTTACAGACTACAGCCAGGATTTCTGCATCTTCTTAGAATCCCCCATGACAGTGCCCCTTACCAGCAGGAAGTAGTTTGGAAAGAACGACGCCCAAATTCCCAAATATTGTCTATAAATGTTTGTTTTCATTTAAATGGACTTGGTTATAAAAAAGAAAGAAAGAAAGAAAATGTGAAAAGAGGTCTTTTTCTTTTTCAGCCTTGCCTTACATCCAGATAAAACTCTGATTGCAACTGGCCAAGTTGGGAAGGAGCCATATATATGCATCTGGGATTCCTATAGTGTCCAGACTGTGTCTATTCTCAAAGATGTCCATACACATGGAGTTGCATGCCTGGCTTTTGACTCAGATGGACAGGTGCGTACCTTTCTTCATTTATGTTTTCCTTAATGAGTTCTTAAATTTACCTAAAATTATAATGTAAATAGCTACCAACCTTTGCTGTTTCCCCTTGGCAGCATCCTAGATTTCCTCACTGTTTGGCCCCTTTTAAGCTAGATTAGTACACACTCTCAACAGACTCTAGTTTTGGTTTTCCTATTCCTACTCTACTACTATTGGTGAAAATGCTCTGCAAGGGAACTCATAAGGTTAGGTCCACTGGGGCTCAGTAATCCTATTTTGTCCCATTATTAGCATCCTATCTGGAATAAGAGCTGCACCAAGCCATTTTCACAGAGCTCAACCCCTACACAAATACTATGCCTTTTGCTTTCAGGTTTTCACTTTACCTCCTAATGATTTTTTTTTTTCTACCTTGAGGTCACTTCTTACTCTTCCCTCTTTCCACCCCTCAGCTCCCTTCTAATTCAAGCTGTCACCAATTCCTGTGTGTTAATTCTTTTCTTTATAATAATACCAACACAAAGTCCCACCCCTCCTCCATTTTCAGGCACACCCCTTTAAATTCCAAGTCATAACCATGTATAATATAATTTAAACATTGCTTTGACTAATATTTTCAAAATTTTTATTTATTTAATGTATATTAATGTTTTGTCTGCATGTATGTTTGTATATCACATTCATGTCTGGAATTCAGAAGATGTCATCAGATCCACTGGAACTAGAATTACATATGGTTGTGAAGCACTACATGACATGGGTGCTGGAAAACAAACCTAGGTCCTCTGCAAGAGCAACAAGTACTCTGAGCTACCAAACTATCTCTCCAGCTTTATCTTTACAGTTTCTTAGTAATTCATTTCAGCATCTGAAGTTTGATGTAGCATCGAACAAAGCCCAAACATTGTAGGTGGGCATTTTCTGTTAACAATGCATGATTTGTCTGCCAGATACTGTGCCTTTGAAATGCCCTGTGTCCATGGGGGAGGGCCTGGGCCCTGCTCCAAATGATATGACAGACTTCAAAGACTCCCCATGGAGGCCTCATCCTCTCAGGGGAGCAGAAAGGGGATGGGACAGGAGCCATTGGGGGAACAGGGGAGGAACTGGGATTGATATGAAAAACAAGCTTGTTTCACACACACACACACACACACACATATATGTATATGTATATGTATATGTATGTGTGTGTGTGTGTGCTCTATGTCATGCTCCGATCCTCACCTGAAGTTCACTGCTTGCCTGTTTGCCTCCTTGTAGAGAGACATGGTAAGGATATGAAGACAATACCCACTAGTTAGCTCTCCTTCCTAGGACATACAACAACACTTGATAGAAAAAATGTTACTATAGCTCTAAAAAGTGAATGGAAATACAAAGGGCTTATTCTGGGCTCTAGCTGCATTCACCTTTTTGATGAGGTTGCAGCTTTTCTCTGCAGCTTTCACTATGTCTCTACATGGTGTCCCTTCTGCCGTCTCTTTGTATATCAATTAATTTATTCAATAAGTGTTTGGCTAATTTCACTGTTAATTTTGTAAGTTAATGTCATGGGAAAACCAGTGAAGTCATTCTTAGACATTAAACCAAACAAGGGAGGGGGAAATTCATAGATAAAGATGAGTTGACCTGCTGTAAGTCATTTTTTTTATTTATTTTATATAACAAAGTCCAATTAAATGAAAACAAATATTTATACACAATATTTGGGAATTTGGGCATTGCCCTTTCCAAACTACTTCCTGCTGGTAAGAGGCGCTGTCATGGGGGATTCTAAGATTCAGAAATCCTGGCTGTAGTCTGTAAGGCTGCTTTGTCCAGCTGTTTTGAATGTAGGATCACCTGGTACTCTGTTTCAGGCGGTCTGGCATGATCAAACCACATTAGTCTAGAAGGAATCCACATCTTATCATTTTCTGTGGAAACAAAAATAGAAATCCTTTTCCCCAGTAACTTGTCCTTGGACTTAAATTTTGGAGTCAAAGCATTTTTTTAAATTTAATTTATTATTTTACATGTCAATCCCAGTTCCCTCGCCCTCCCTCCTTCATTCTCTCTCTCCCTCCTTCCTGCCCTCTCTTTCTCCCTCCTTCCCTCCCTCCTCCCTTCCCTTCCTTTAACCCTCTCTGTTCTCTCCTATGCACTCTAACCACCCTCCCATCCCCCCACCCCAATTCCATATGTAGGGGAATGCCATCCAGTTGGGATCATGTAGATCTGACAGGTCATGTGAAGTAGGGACTAGGGCTTCTCTCCTGTCTCTAGGTTAAGGCAGTTATCCCTCCATGGGAATTGTGTTCACAAAGTCCATTTGTGCACCAGGGATACATCCTGGCTCCACTGTCTGAGGTGCCTTAGACTGCTCAATCCTTCTGGCTGAGACCCTTATTCAGGGGGGCCTGAGTCAGTCCCATGCTGGCTTCCCAGCTATCAGTCTGTTGGCCCGTTAATGTCTCCTTGTTCAGGTAAGCTGTCTCTATGTGTTTCTGCCGCCTGGTCTTGTCTTCTCCCTCTGCATCTGAGTTCTACTTCGACTCAGTGTTTATGTATGGGTATTTGATCTTGTTTCCAACAGACATTAGTTGAGGGCTCCATGGATAAGTTAGTTGTTGATCTCACACTCTGGGAAGGGCATTTATGATAGCCGTTCCACGGAAGCTCAAATTGTTAGTTGGGAGCAGTGTTGTAGTTCTCTAGACCTTTCTTTGTGTTCAATTTTATCTTCAAACCAATATTGGCTCCCTCTATTCTATTCTCTCTCTCTCATCTCTATCTCTCTCTCCCTCTTTCCTATCTTCTATTACTAACCAGGCTCAATCTTCCTGGTCCCACATGTTTTCCTTTCCTCCCGCTCATTTTCTCCAACTTCTCTCTCCATTCACTGCCCCCCCCACTTCCCCTGAGTTCTGGGGGACTTGTCCCTTCCCAGTTCTGTGAGGGACTTTATATGAATCTCTTAGAATACACCTTGTATCCTAGTTCCTCTGGTGGTGTGAATTATAGGCTGGTGATCCTTTGATCTAGGTCTAAAATCCATATATGAGTGAGTACATACTGTGTTCCTCTTTTTGTGACTGGGTTACCTCATTCAGGATGGTTTCTTCAAGTGCCATCCACTTGCCTTCGAATTTCAAGATACCATTATTTTTTTCTGCAGAGTAGTATTCCATTGTGTAGATGTGCCACATCTTCATTAACCATTCTTCAATTGAGGGTCATCTAGGTTGCTTCCAGGTTCTTACTATTGCAAATAGGGCTGCTATGAACATAGTTGAACAGATGTCTTTGTTGCATGGATGTGAATCCTTTGGGTTTATGCCTAAGAGGGGGATTGCCGGGTCCTGTGGTAAATCAATTCCCATTTTCCATACTGATCTCCAAAATGGCTGTATGAGTTTGCACTCCCACCAGCAGTGGAGGAGTGTTCCTCTTTCTCCACATCCTCTCCAACATAAGTCATCATTGGTGTTTCTAATTTTAGCCGTTCTGGCAGGGGTAAGATGGTATCTCAAGGTTGTTTTGATTTGCATTTCCCTGATAGCTAAGGATGGGGGTGTGTTTCAGCCTTTTTAATTTCCTCTATTGAGAATTCTTTCTTCAGTTCTGTAACCCATTTTTTAATAGGGTTATTTGGTGTTTTGTTGACTAGTTTCTTGAGTTCTTTGTATATTTTGGAGATCAGCCCTTTGTCAAATATGGGATTGGTGAAAATCTTTTCCCAGTCTGTGGGCTGTGGTTTGGTCTTGTCCACTGTGTCCATTGCCTTACAGAAGCTTCTAAGTGTGAAGAGGTCCCATTTATTAATTATTTTTCTCAGTGTCTGTGCCCCTGGAGTTCAGGAAGCAGTCGCCTATACCAATTTGTTCAAGGGTACCTCCTACTTTCTCTACAAAGAGGTTCAGTGTGGCTGGAAGATGTTGAGGTCTTTGATCCATTTGGACTTGAGTTTTGTGCATGGCGACAAACATGGGTCTATCTGCAGTCTTCTACCCATCCTCATCCAATTGTGCCAGCAGGATTTGTTGGGAGATGCTGTCTTTGCCCCATTGTATAATTGTAGCTGTTTTGTCGAAAATCAGGTGCGTGGGTTAATATCAGGATTTTCAATTTGATTCCATTGGTCTACCTGTCTATTTTTATGCTAGTACCAGGCTGTTTTCAGAACTATAGCTCTGTAGTAGAGCTTAAAGTCAGGAATGGTGATACCTCCTGAAATTCTTTTATTGTATAGGGTTGTTTTGGCTATCCTGGGTCTTTTGTTTTTCCATATAAAGTTGATAATTATCCTTTCAAGGTCGGTGAAGAATTGTGCTCAGATTTTAGTGGGGATTGCATTGAATCTGCAGATTGCTTTTGGCAAGATTGCCATTTTTACTACCTATCGAAGAGCATGGGAGATCTTTCCATTTTCTGCTATCTTCTTTAATTCCTTTCTTTAGAGCCACAAAGTTCTTATTATATAGGTCTTTTACTTGTTTGGTAAGCATTACACCAAGATACTTTATGTTTCTTGTGGCTATTGTAAAGGGTGATGTTTCTCTGATTTTTTTCTCTGTCTCTTTGTCGTCTGAAAAAAGTACGGCTACTGATTTTTTTGAGTTTATCTTGTATCCTGCTAGTTTGCTGAAGGTGTTTATCAGCTGTAGGAGTTCCCTGGTAGAGTTTATTGGGCCTCTTATGTAAACTATCATATCATCTGCAAATAGAGACAGTTTGACTTCTTCCTTTCCAATTTGGATGCCCTTGATCTCCTTTTGTTGTCTTATAGCATTAGCTAGAACGTCTAGTAGGATATTGAAGAGATATGGAGAGAGAGGGCAGCCTTGTCTTATTCCTGATTTTAGAGGAATTGGCTTAATTTTCTCTCCATTCAGTTTGATGTTGGCAGTTGGTTTGCTGTATATTGCTCTTAAATTGTTATTCCTGATCTCTCCAAGACCTTTATCATGAAAGGGTGTTGAATTTTGTCGAAGGCTTTTTCCGCATCTAGGGAGATAATCATATGGGTT